ATGCACACCTTCGAACTCAAATGGATGCAACACACATGAGCACACACACACACACACACACACACACACACACACACACAGGGGAGGGGGATAAGAAAATAATTCATATATTGAAATCTAATGCAGAATGTCTTGGGATTAGAAGGTAGGAACTTTGGGAGGTCTGGGAGGTGACAAGGTCATGAGGGTGAAGGCCTCGTGAATGAGCTCAGGGCCTTTATTTATTTATTTGTTTGTTTGTTTGTTTTAGATGTATTTTTTATGTACACAGGTGCTTTGTCTGTATATATGCCTGAAGACAAGAAGAGGGCATCAGGTAGTGAGCTGCCATGTGAGTGCTGGGAATTGAACTCAGGACGCATGGAAGAACAACCAGTGTTCTTTACCACTGAGTCATCACTATAGCCCTGAGATGAGGGCCTGTATAAAAGCAGCCCAGAGGATCTTGTTTGTATCTTTGCCTGTCCCTTCCACTATTCAAGGACACATAGAAGATACCCCTGGGGCATATACTCACATCAGACACTGGTCCCCTGGGACCTTGTTTATGGTCTTTTTGGCCAGGCTTCAATTTCTGTTGTTTATAAAAATAAGTATACATTATAACAACATAAACAGACTTCTTCTACTCTATAAATGTAAACCCTTAGCAGCAGAAATAGAATAAGATATCTCATACCTATCTCATAACTCATTTTTGCATCTGTATCTCTCCTCTTTAATGCCCACTGACACTGAGTTCAGGCCCCCAAGATTCTTGGTGGGTTTAGGAATTAAGGTTAGAACTGAAAATGGAACTAGAAGCTGTGTTTTAGTGGAGGACTAAAAATACAACCGGAAAAACCAAATAACATTCCATCAGTAAGAAAAATTAATCTAATTATGAATATTATAGTATGGGGGGATGGAAAGGGTTATGTAAACTATGTATGCCTCTGAACATCAACAATCCCAGCAATCAAGGAATAGATTCAGAAGGATGAATGAGTGTGTGGTCAGCTTGGCTACATAGTGAAAACCTGTCTAAAAGAGACACGGTGAGAAGAAAGGAAGTCTTCATTCATCTTTATGATTTAAGTTACTATAGGTGTAATTTCTTAAACATACAGTATACTAGCTTTGTTACTATAATGTATTCATTACACAACATAAACTTGTTTTTGTTTTTCAAACAATCAAGACTTTAGAGACTTTTTGGTTGGCTCACTTTCCTTTTAACACTTACTTCCCCTGCTAAAGCTTGGGTCACACAGGTCATATATTCCCCCACAATTCCTTTCCTTGGTGTCTCCTAAAGAATGAAACTAAGAAGGCAAATTCAGAGAAGCAAAGTTCTCTTTATCTTGAAATGCCAATATGCTAGAAAGATGGAGGTGTGTCACAGAGCACAGTACAAGTTAGGGGGCCATCAAAATAAAGAGACTGTTCCAACAACAGGCAAAGCTGGTGCCAATACTTAACGTAGCATGAGATAGATTGAAAAGCCCTCTTTTTTTTTAAATCTATTTCTCATATCCTTCCCCATTTCTAAATATAAATTGTTAGCAAGTAATTATGATGAATAATAACACATCATTTAATTTCCTGCCAGCTGAGGTCTGGCAGAGTTGAAGCATGCTGAACCTCAGGAGTGTGTAGTTTTAGAACTGAACAATTAGCTCATGATGATGGGACTAGAGGTTACCATGGCAACCTGATCTCACGGCTCTGTGTGAGGCCATATTGTAGCCGTGTTTGAGTGGCAGAAGCTGGTGGTTGTGCCTGGTGGTCCAGGCAACGTTGAGGAACAGATAGGAAGTTTTCCTTGTGAAAGTTTGGAAGGGGTAGGTCCTTTGAAATCTGCAGAGGAAGATTGTATGATATTTTTTTCAGTGCCATGACAATGCATTATTAGTGGTAGCAATAACTCATAACAATCTTTAGCCTTCAGCTTGGCCAAAACCACCACTAAAACACTTTGAAGTGTTGAGCCATCTCTCTACCTCCAGCTATGCTTTTCTTGAGATGTTTTAGGTTGCCGGAATTGTTTGGGTGCCTCCCCAAACCTCTGATACTGTGGTGGGAGCCAGGAGAGAGGAAGCTCAGAATGGTTACAAACTTAAGAACTTTCAGGGCTGCAATGAAAGCCATAGTGAGAGAAGAGTCAAAGTAGGGCGCTGAAGCAGACAACTCAGGTCAAGTGCAAGGCGCTGCAGGTGAGGCAAATGCCAAAGGAAGCCGAAGAGGAAGAAGACTTGAGTGGGCTCTTGAGATGGTTCGGGAGCACAAGCACTTGCTGCACAAATCTGGTACGTTGAATATGATTCCAGATCACACCGGGAAAGGAGGACTGGACATTGTCTCCTCCATACAGGTAACATGGCACACACACACGTCCTCTACACTTCTCTGCCCTCCCCATATCTCCTTCTTCCTGCGAGCACGCACACACACACACACATGCGAGGTAAAATAACATTTAAGAATCCTTTTCTTTTTGAGATAGGGTTTCTCTGTGTAGTCCTGGCTGTCCTGGAACTCATTCTGAAGACCAGGCTGGTCTCAAACTCACAGAGATTCAGCTGTCTCTGCCTCTGAGTGCTGGGGTTAAAGGTGAGCCCCATCACGGCCTGGCTAAAATTTAAGAATTTTGCTCAGAGTCTTTAAGAACGAGTGGGTGCTTACAGAGAAGCCACTCAAGGTTTTCAGTGGTAACTTTGAAATGTTTCTGTGTGGATCCTGAAACATGCCATGGGATAGACTGTTTTACAAGGATCTAAATTAGTGTAACATAGGCATCTTCTTGTAATTGATAGTGTAGTCTTATCATCTGACAAAATCTTTTATATTATAGAGTCCTCATCCATCCAGAATCACTTATTGTTACAAAATATTCATGTATAGTTTAAAAAGAGGGCCCACTTACTGTAACTGTGAATTCTACATTATTTAATATATAGACAAAATCTCCTTATGCAGCCTTTGATGTCTTGGAACTGACTGTCTAGACCAGGCTGGCCTCAAACTCACAGTGATCCATCTGCCTCTTTCTCACTAGTGCTGAGATTAAAGGCAACACCATGCCTGGCCCTTTAAAATTTAATCCCCTCATCATTTGAGAGCCCAGGCTGTCCCTGGGAGGTGTCTTTTTACAACCACATTTTTTTTTTCTTCTTTTGCCTTCCAGATAGTTTGTCCGTTATTAGGCCTTTAAAGAATACTTAGTAAGTTAGACTGTGGGCAAACAAAAATCAATAAAACACTATTTCTGTAGAGGCTTTAACGGTCTCATGGGAGAAAGAAACATTTAAACATCAAAGACAGAAAGTCAAAAGCAGCAAGCCCTGGGGGACTCGGGGAGCTAGCCACTGGCCCTGGGGGCCTCCGGGAACTAGTCACTGACTCTGGGGACCTCGGGGGAACTAGCCACTGGCCCTGGAACAATGGTCACAGATGGATTAAGGCAGGACTGTAAGGAAGGTAACACTGAGAACAAAACTTTGCTAGTAAGGGTCAATCCACAGAGGATAAGATTAGCCACGGGGGAAACGTGTCCAATGCTTTGTCTAATTTAAGTATGTTGAAGCGTTTACACGCTTCATTTCTGTTATCCGCAGATGTAAATACAAACTTGCCATGACCTTCCGTTATTCCCGCATAGATTTCCAGCTTTGCCTCGGGTTAGTGGTTAGGTAGCTTTTTAAAATTTGAGAATCACATGGAATAATGCATAAATACTCAGCAGAGTCTCCTCTTGAACCAGTTCTGGTCCCCTCCTCCCCCCGCCCCCAAGCCCTCTATTCCCCTCAATCCGCGGCTTGCCTTGCGGGCTGGCTCCCTGCGACACTCTGCCCCTAGGGGGCGCTCGAGGGAAGGCTGAAGAGGTCAAGGTGGCTGCTGACCCCGCCTGCAGCTTTTTCCCCATGAGCCGCTGTCCCTTTCTAGTAGCACTCTGAGAACGGCTTGCAGTTTTGGCAGCACCGGCAGAACTGGCTTCACCGCGCCCGGTGCAGAGAGCGAGCGTCAGCAGAGTTCTAATTTAAGCAATTCCGGTCCCTTTCTCTCTCTCCTCTTCCCTCCCAGGGCTACGGTGATAGCTGCTCCCTACCTTTGAGATATAACTTTAAGGTAGGGACGTTTGCCAAAAGCTAGAGAAGTGCTTGGGTTGTTAGAACTCAGGGCAGACGAGAGAGCATTGTCCGTACCTGCTGGGCTGAGGCCAGGGATGCTTTGAAATAAACATCCTACTGCACACAAGATAGGTAGCACTAGTAGCAGGGCTGGGAAACCCCGTTTTCCTGCTGTTTTTAACTCCTCCGGTTAAAAGATGTAGTATAACCACTAGAAACTAAGCATAGTTAAAACACTTTTAGAAAGAGATGGGAGGAGAGAGAAAGGAAGGACAAAAGGGAGGAAGGAAGATAAACAAAGGAAGGGAAGGAAAGACAAACGACAAAAAGACTGGCGTGGTGGCACACACCTTTAATCCCCAGCAGAGGCCTGAGGATTTCTGTGAGTGAGTTTGTTGTCTGCCTGGTGTGCAAAGCTAGTTCCAGAACAGCTAGTGAAAGGGGAAAATTAATAAAAGTCTAAAACCCAGACTCCAAAGCCCAAATAGAAAACTCTGAGTTCCCAAAACCTTGTCTCAGCAGACAAGGTTAAACAAAGGTCCACTGGACTCAAGCCTTTAGACCAGACCCTAGAGTGGTGTCGACATTCCTCTGGTCCAAAGAGAATCAGATAGTTATCAATTGTAGAAGTCCCCAGCCCAGGAGATAATTAACAAACTCATTTCCTCTGCAGCATCCTGCTTAATTGTACCTTGCCTGAAGCATACAACCATTGCCCTGTCCTGTGTAACCACGAAGTTCTGTAATCTTGGGGCTTCCAGCCCTACTATTTTCCCTTATAAAACACCCCTCAGTCGAAAGTGGGGGCTCCATTTGTTCCCAAACGAATGGGGTCCTTGCTGCAGCTCGTATCCTCGAGTCAATAAAGAAACCTTTGTCCTTGCATTCGGTGAGTCGTCTCCTTGTTGATGGGTTCTTTTGGGGTTCCGAAATCTGGGCACAACACCAGGCTGTTAAAAACAAACAAACAAAACCAGACAAGTATTGGATCTCTCCATCAAGTATCTGTCGTGGTTTTGACTTAATCATGCTAATTCAGCTTTCACACGAGCTACAAAAGCAATTAGTCTGGGCATGGTGGCCCAAGTGAGTCATCTGAGCAAATGGGAACAGGGGATCGCCTCCATCCGAGTGGGTGAATTATGTAAAAGTTCATTGAGTTATACAGACTTCGAATCTGGTTAATTTTGGTGTGTGATGTTTTTATTTATTAGCCAGGTTTGATTTTTTTCTTTTTATGGTGTTTTGGCTGCATGTATATGACTGTGTGCAGATGTTGGATTCTTTGGAACTGGAGTTACATACTGTTGTGAGTTTCCTTGTGGGTGCTGGGAATTGAACCAGGGTCCTCTGGAAGAGCAGCCAGTGCTTTTAACTGATGGGTCATCACTCCAGTCCCTAATTGCAAGGTTTAAAAAAGTAAAGTTTACAAAATTAAAAAAGGAATCAACTAGGGGAAACATAAACTTTCATATTTTATGCCCCCCAAAATAATGAACTGTAAATGATTTATGAATTGAATCCTTATTACAAAATCGTCTTGTCTTTATTTATTTGTTGTGGATCAAATCTGGGACATATCAGGTGATTGTTCTACCAGTAAACCATTAATACACCCAACCCAGAAATGAAATCTTCAGGTCTCATGATAAGAACTACATATATTAGTAGGACATGGTGGCAAAGATCTTTAATTCCATCACTTGGGAGGCAGAGGCAGGTGGATCTTTTTGAGTTCAAGCCCAGCCTGGTCTACAGAGTGAGTTCAAGGGCTAAATAGAGAGACCCTGTCTCAGAAAAAAGTTGGATACAGTACATAAGTAAGAAGTAGTGGTATTGTTTAGGACACTATGGCCGTTGGGGTAGAGCCTGGAGCAGATCAGTGATGGTTCTCACTGTAACTTCATCAACATTATTTTATATAACCTATATTCATTTATTGTTTTAAAATATCGTATAAAAAAGCTTGCTATGCAATGTACTACTCTATAAACAGTACACGGTGGAAACCTCAGGTTGGCAGTTGGCAAGTATATTTTATTGGGTCTCCTTTGTTTAACCAATGTTGCAAAAATGCACTATTTTGCATAAAAGTCAGATTGAGTGAAGACAAAACCTTCTTTGCATATGGTGATAGGCAGCTATGCTCAAGCACTGTAGGACAAGATGTGTGCTTCCTTCCCATTTTGCCATAGTCCCCACTGTGTTTCTGAGTATTACCCAAGGCTGCTTTCTTTCACCGTGTGCGTGTGCTGTTACTGACTTTGCTCCTCTGCGCATTGCCTTCTGGAACCCTGTTCCAAACCCCGCCCTCAAAGTGCCAAGGGCGGGCCTTTCCCTGGAATCCCCTGAGTACAGACTCCGCCCCTAAAAAGCCCACCATTGGCTGCTCCACCCCCGAGGGCATTAAAAGCGCCCACCTCTGGATTCACCTCGTGGTTCCTGGTTTTCTGTTCTCCTGAGGCCACCCAGAAATGCTTTGCTCAGATTAGACCTGGGTTTATTAATTCGGTCTGATTGGTTTATTGTATCACTGGTGGCGGGTTTCCAGTAACCTTTCCATTAACCAGAACTTTTAAACATAAAAGATGGTAGGAGACAAGCATTATTATCTTCTTTGCCATGCCATCACCAACCCACTAAACAACAAAGGCGTTCCCAAAAAGGCCCAAGTTCAGGAGTAGCATGAACCTGGAGCCAATGATTTTAAGTGAACGAAGAGAAAGGGTCGTGTTCCTTATGTCTCAGGCACTGTTCCAGGCAATCCATATATATGACTTTGTCTAACCCTTGTAACGGTGCAATTAAGTAGGGAATTGGTAGTTCAATTCCACACTGAAGGAACCAAGCAGGGCTGAGGAGGTGTCTGGTGGAGGGCTTACTGGGCGTGTGCAAAGCCCTCAGTTCAGTTACACTCCAGAAAACCCTTTGTGGGTTGCACATGCCTATAATCCCAGCAGGCAGGAGGATTCAAAGAACCAGGCCATCCTCATCTATATAGAGAGTTCAAGGCCAGCCCAGGGTGCACGAGACCCTGGCTCAACACAAATTAATAAGTTAATTAATAATAAAAAAATTAAAAAAAGAAATAAAAGAAATCAAGTCACAGAACGGTCAAGTAGCTTGTATGTACCATCAAACAAGAATTTCAACAAGCCAACTAGATTGAGTAATTTTTTAAACTAGTATTTAAGAATAACCCATACAGTTTGTGCAGATGTCTCTTCTACCAGGCGGGACTTTTCTGCTTGAAGAGCCAGCTCAAACCAGCCTTGAAACAGAACATTTTCAAATGTAAACCATCTGGTTCACACAGCCAAACCGCCGGATGCCTGCACTGGCGCTGGCCCACCGGTTGACTACACCCAGCCTCCTCCTCTGGTTTCCGTTTCCCTTTGTGTGTTGACTTCATTCTCCCAAATTCCTTTAGGTGGCGGAGTTTCAAGAAGAGCTGCGGCGGGGACTTGCTTTCAGTGTTTATTAGGGCGCACTCTCCGTATTCTCCGGGAGAAGGAAGCAAGACTTGGCAGAAGGGAAAGTCAAGCCGTGATGCTCAACCAGGGACAGCTGAGAAAGAACCAGAACACAGCACTAAAAGTGAGACAAAGTAAAAATGACCCAAAGGGTTTCCCGTGGCCTGGAGTCTGACCTCAGCAGTGCAGTATGCGGTCTTGTAATTTGTTTGCAGTTCGGGTATTGACCTCTGTTACCGAAATGTCACAAGGGAACGAAGAGCACAAATATGAATGAGGGTTCGTTATCTCACAGAGAAAAAGTTGCTGCCACGAGGGCCAGATTCTCGAGCCTTCATCAGAGAGAATTCTCTCCTTCGTGGTGACTTCCAGATTTTGTTTAGTCTGTAGGAAAACAAGAAAACGAGGCCGTCAACACTCAAGTGATTGCGATCATAAACCGGCTGATGACCCAGGACACCAACGTTAGACGGCAGCGCCACCCTGTGGTGCTCCGCATCCCGACCGTGAACTGAGGAAAGAGGACCGGGAAAGTGCAGTTTTTGTGACGCACAAGGGAAAGGGAAGGGCAGCCCCTCTTTCCCACACTGAATTCACATTTTCCAGATTTGTTAACGCCCTCACCCCATTCCGGTCTTGCTGGCCTGTAAGTCGCCGGATTGCCTTACCTATCTGAGCTGACCTCTGAGCATTTAATGTAATGGCGTTTGTCACACACAGTACTCGTGACAGTTCTCCATCTACTCGGCGTGTAGCCCACGTGGCTTACTACTAGTTAGAAGACTCCAGAAGGTGGTGCCAGCCCAGCCCTCTGGTGAGGCTGCTGCAGGTGGCACTGTGCTCATGACCTTCTTTCCTATATTGCTTGAGTAACCCATGCCGTTGCTCTCTGCATCTGCCACCCTTAGACATCCCAGGGACGGCTAAACATCTGCTTCTCTCTGAGGGTATGTCTAGCTCTTGAGTCCCTTGCTTCAGTTGGGACAGTTAAACGACCTTCCTGGCTCACCCATTGTGAGTTTGCAAAGGATGCTTCGTCACCTACCATTTGGTCCAGAGTCTGCAGTTAGAGAACCAGCGTTTGTTTAGCCCTTGAGTGACAGGTCTAAAACTGCACCAAATCTCCATGTTGTGTCTGGCTTTTGGTCATCTGTCCCAGAAGGGAGCCTTGCTCCCCCAAACTCCTCACTCTGATCTCTCTGGCTTCTGCTATAAGGCCAGCATCTCAAGAGAAGAACCCAAACTCTTGCTGAAGCAACTCCCCTCCCATCCCAGAACAAAACCAAGGTGGTCTACAAGCCAGTCGGCCAGGCTTCCCTGGCTACGGGCTCCTCTTTTCCATGGCACAGTATCCGCACTAGTTATGTTCCTGTCTCCGTTAAAGGGCACACCCTTCAGAGAGGAACTGGTGAACACAACTCTCTCGTGTCATTAGCAAGTGTCTGGGGTGTCATGCACTCAGGCAGCACTTTGCTCCATTGTTGAATAAATAGTAACTGTGGGACAATTCAGGAAAACACTGTAGAGGGTTGGGGGAAATTACATTGAGTTTTTTTTTTTGTTTTTTTTTTTTTTGGTTTTTCTAGACAGGGTTTCTCTGTAGCTTTTGAGCCTATCCTGGCACTGGCTCTGGAGACCAGGCTGGCCTCGAACTCAACAGAGATCCCCCTGCCTCTGCCTCCTGAGTGCTGGGATTAAAGGCAAGCGCCACCAATGCCGGGCTTACACTGAGATTAATGCATTCAAATTTTACAGTAATTTGCTACTTACCCACAGGTTTCTAAGTGTGTGTGTGTGTGTGTGTGTTCCATGGCAATTCTCTGTTTAGTTTCTCCTGGACTACACGACTCCTCTGGTCTATAGCTTATTATTTCTCACCTTCGAGTTTAATTCTTAGCAACACTAGGATAATATTGTGCCACCCAGTCCAAATATGTTCTGCCCTCTTCACTTCAAATCTTCCTCTCATTATGCCTAAAATAACGTCCTCATTTCCCCCTGCCTCTCATGGAAAAGGCAATTTCCATTTGTTCTTTACATTTCCATCCAGCGCTGTGAGCAGACATCTCTAAGCCTTGTGTCCAGCTGGGTTGTCTTTTATGCATGCACAGCAACTCTTCCAGGTGCCCACCCGTGGTGGTCCAAGCATTGCTGCAAACCAAACTGCTTATGTAACCGGAGACATAAATTGGTCCCAGAACTCCTGAAGCAAGTTACTGAAATAACAATCTCTTTGTCAAAGTCCCATTTTCATTGGGCATTTTTTACAGTGTGCTTATGCAACAGCAGTCCCATCAGCGGAAGTTGTGGAGATGAATAACAGAGTGATATTTACAGTGAATAAATCATTTAATCTATTATGTAAGTATTTAAATATACTAGCGTTTCTCCTAAGAACTTGTGAGATTCAGAAAATCTATACCTGATCTTAGCAAAAAGGCTGAGAAGTGAAGTTTCAGAAACCCAAAGGCAGACTTGGGAAATAATTAGAACAAATGTGAAAAATAAGCACTGCTGGGAACATTCTCACGGCTTTGAGTCGTTTTGATTTTCAGCTTCTCACTCTCTGCAACTTTCAGCAAAGTCAGTGAGTTAAATGCATGTTCACAAACAAAATTTTTGTTAAACAGGAGTTTATTCCACTCAAAAATCACCATTTTAGCCGGGCGGTGGTGGCGCATGCCTTTAATCCCAACACTTGGGAGGCAGAGGCAGGGGGGTCTCTGTGAGGTTGAGACCAGGCCGGTCTACAAGAGCTAGTTCCAGGTCAGCCTCCAAAGCCACAGAGAAACCCTGTCTCGAAAAAAAAAAATCACCATTTTATCTCAAGATATCCACTTATGCACTGAAAGTGTAAATGAGGAAGAAGGTTGCATGGGCCATTTCAACTCTATTCTAATAGTAGGTGTTTCAGAGAGCTTTCATGATCCTATAATGAAATGCCCAAGACAGATAACTTACTGGGAGGAAAGTTTCAGTTTGGCTTACAGTTCTACAATCGATAGTCCAAAATCAGACAGCCTTATTCTTTGTGCCTCTGGCAAAGATGTGGTGAGACTATCCTCATACTTCTTAAGCAGAAAGACACTGAAGTATTGGGGTCCCCCAGTTCCCCTAAAGACATGCCTCTAACGACCCAAGGATCTAAGGCTTTATAAAGCCTCACCTCCTAAAGGGCTCATCACTTCTCAATAATACATCCCTGGTGTCTACACCTTTAACAAAGGAGCTTTTGGAGGCTACTACCTATACTCAAACTATAGTGTATATGTGTGCATGTATGTATGCATGCATGTGTGTATTCATGCACATATGTATGTATGTGTTTATCTTTGTTAAGGTTGAACCCCAGGCTTTGTACATACATACATGTCAGGTTCTACCACCATGCTACATTGCCAGCTTATAATCTATTATGATTATTGTTTGTGTATGTTTGTGTCCATGTTTGTATGTGTGAAGGTACAGTGTGTGTGTGTGTAGGCTAGAGGACGACCTTACCTGTCATTCCTTAGGAGCTATCTGTCCATCTTGGCTTTTGAGATAGGCTCTCTCCCTTGACTGGAACACACCCATTAAGCAAGGTTGGTTGGTCAGCAAGCCCTAGAGGCTGCCTGTCTCTGCATCCCCAGCCCTGGGATTACAAGCCATCAAGTCTGCCTTTCACTGGGTTCTGGGGATTGAACGTGGATCCCCATATTTGTATGATAAGCACTTTACACACAGAGCCACCTCTCCAACCCATATACTTGTTTTTTAAATGGTGAATGCATATACCAGGACTCATTATATTTTATTTATTTGTTATTAATTTATTTTGAGACAAGGTCTTGTTATAGAGCTCTGGTTTGCTGGGAACTCACTATATAGTCCAGATTGGCCTCAAATGTACAATCCCTTTGCCTCAGCTTTCTGAATGTTAGGATCATAGGCAGATACCACCATGCCCTCCTTTTCTGTTAACAAATAGATTTTAAAAGATCTATTTTCTCTGCTCACCTAAATAAGCTTAAAGTGGTGCAAGTTGCTAGCCTCTTCAGGAATCACCATGTCCATGGTCCCCTGTTCCTCCCTCTCATCACTCATCACATGGGCTGCATTTTAGCCACCTGTGCATCTCTCTCTCTCTCTCTCTTTCTCTCTCTCTTTCTCTCTCTCTCTCTCTCTCTCTCTCTCTGTGAGCTGTGAACTTCTTTGCATTTTTATTTACTTATGTCTACGTATATGTGTGTGCCTATGTGAGTTTATGGACACCACCTGTGTGTAGAAGCCTAAGGAGGCCAGAAGAGGGCGTCAGATCCCCTTGGACTGAGGTCTGAGGGTTGTAAGTTGCCATGGGGTGTTGAGAACTAACCTAGGTCCTCTGCAAGAGCAGCAAGTGCCCTTAACCACTAAGCTATCTCTACAGTCTTGGGCTGTGAACTCTTAAGGGGGAGAGGCTGTTTATTTTTCCCTGTCCTTTCCCTATCCTCCAACCCAAAGCTAAGATCAATTTGTGCTCAGTAGACATCTGTTCAGTAGGCAGGTGGCTGATAAAAACAGGACCCTCAAGGCAGCCGGCCCGACACTGCGAAAATGTCAGCCTAAGGTTTTCTTCCCTTGACCTCTTTTCTCATTCCCTTTCCTCATAAAACAAACTGTCAAGAGGTGGCCTAGTTGGTAGAATGCTTTTCTATCATTCATGAAGCCCTGTCTTGGCCCCAGCACATAATAAAGCCAGACATGGAGGCACATATATTTAATGCTAGCTCTGGGAAGCAGAGGCAGGTGGATGACTTAATAAGGGTTTCTATTGCTGAGATGAAACACCAAAAAGCAAGCTGGGGAGGAAAGGGTTTATTTGACTTACACTTCCACATCACTGTTGATTGTCAAAAGAAGTCAGGGCAGGAACTCAAACAGGGCAGGATCCTGGAGGCAGGAGGTGATGCAGAGGCCATGGAGGGGTGCTGCTTACTGGCTTGCTGTCCATGGCTTCCTCAGTCTGCTTTCTGTCTTTCTTTTTCTTTTCTTTCTTTCTTTTTTTCTTTTTTTGGTTTTTCTAGACAGGGTTTCTCTGTGGCTTTGGAACTAGACTAGGCTGGTCTCGAACTCACAGAGATCTGCCTGCCTCTGCCTCCCAAGTGCTGGGATCAGTGACATGTTCCACCACTGTCCGGCTCTCAGTCTGCTTTCTTTCTTTCTTTCTTTCTTTCTTTCTTTCTTTCTTTCTTTCTTTCTTTCTTTCTTTTTAAAAATAGATTTTATTTATTTATTATGTATACATCATTCTGCTTCCATGTATATCTGCACACCATAAGAGGGCACCAGATCTCATAACGGATGGTTGTGAGCCACCATGTGGTTGCTGGGAATTGAACTCAGGACCTTTGGAAGAGCAGTCGGTGCTCTTAACCTCTGAGCCATCTCTCCAGCCCCAGTCTGCTTTCTTATAGAACCCAGAACCACCAGCCCAGAGTTGGCCCCATACACCC